CTTCATGTTCAATACTATGCTGCACACTCCTGACAAGTGGCTGGCACACCCAGTGCCTCGTCCTCCCAGACATGGGCACCCTGCATGTCGTGGCCATCAAAGACCAGCAGTACAAAGACTACAAAAGCCATTGGTAGGAGAACATGTATGGCTTTGGCATTCCCAGTTCCTGGTGATCATGATGGACCTAACGCAGCTGGTCACCAATTCCAGACTCAAAGAAAATGCGCATCTGGTACCCTCAGTGTAAGAGGCTCAACTTTGACCTTCTGCTTCTCTGTACAATGAAGCAAGATGTCTACATGCTCACAGTGGTAGCCTACTTAATTATTGAGTTCACCTGCTTTCTAAAACAGCCCAACATTCCACCAGTCCCGCGCCCTCACACATGCCCCAGAAGCAGTGCGCAGGAATGAGTGCCTGCTGGTGAAGATGGCAAGGAAACCCTGGATTCCTGATCAGTGTGTGTGTGACCCAACACCAAGAACAACGATGACCTGGAATTCCCCATCCACCTGGACTTTGGAGCTCTTCTGTTCCGTAAACTACCGGATGTGCTGAGGTGGCTCACAGATGACCCTGTGGGGCATTCTCGGCAGTTTTAGGTGAGCCCTCTCCTGGACCTTCCAGAGAAGGGGACTCAGAGACATGGGCTGTAGGAATTGAGGGCACATAGTGTCTGTGTTTTTCATTACTTACGTTTTTGTATGGCTGTATTTAGGCCAATAAACTTCAGCTGGGACAGCTCGGCTTCCTGGAAGACGGTCGGCTGGAGTTCCCTCAAAAAATTAAAAGTGCTATCTGCGTGTTTCTACAGTCCCAAGTAGGCTGATGGCGATATCGTGACTTCTGAGGGTGTTGCCAAACACCTAAGAGCTCCTGTGATCTGACAGGGCCCATATTGGGACATCTGAGCAGCCAGAAAATAAAGGGTTAATCAGCAGGTCAGAGCCTTACCCAGCCAGCTCCCATCCCTGCTCTTACCGTCCACAGTACTGCAACAGCTTGCTTCCCACCCCAGCTCTGCGCTCCACCCAATTGTTTGAGTCATAAGCCCAACCTGTTTGTCCTCCTGGGGACTTTTTACCCCTAAATCTTCCAGTTTGCTTTCTGTGGTTCCCAAAACTATTGGCTTCCTTCCATTCCCCACTCATTTCCATATCCTGGTCACCACACCCCTCCTCTGAGTCCTTGAAAGTCCCTAAGGGACTCTTGGCCTCTGCTCCAAATTCTTCAATCTATTCTCTAGTGCAGCCGGCCAGCCCATCTTTCTAAAGTGCTAATCTGATTGCAATACAAGCTTTCCCCAAGTCCAACAGCCTTCCAAGTCCTCGCTTTCATTTCACAGCCAAATAAAATAACCAGAACACAACTGCAGGAAGGCCGTGCTTATCTTTCACATTTGAGGCGCGCATCTCCTGAGGGTCTTGTTGCATCGCCTCTTTCCGACATGCTTCCCCAAGTAGCCCCGTTTTCCCCTCTAATGTCTCTGGTATTCCAAGGGTCACAAATCTATCACAATTCAGCCAGGCTCTGGGGTGCACACTGCAAGGAAATTGGAGCATCCCTCTCCCAATAAACCTCCCCCAAAGACAGACTGACGTGCTAACCCCCAGTACCTGTGCTGGTGAACTAGTTTGGACAATTGAGCCTTCACAGATGTAACTAGACTAAGACGAAATCATCCCCTAAAGCCTCCTTTCCTTCCTAATCTAATCTAGTACCAACCTTCCACATCTGACCTCGCACTGGTAGCCCATCTAAAAAATCAAGTTCCCGACCTAAACTAGTACCCAATCTTGTTCACTTGTGATACAACTCTTTCTATACAACGCAGGCTGGCTTTGAGCTCACTATGTAGCCCAAGCTGGCCCTAAACTTGTGATCCTCCTGCCTTAAATGAGAGAGAGAGAGAGAGAGAGAGAGAGAGAGAGTGCATCAAGTCCTCAAGGGAAGTGAGGAAGTCCTAGGGATGGAGAGGAAGCTGAGGTTTGACAGAGTATCAACTAGCCAGTGGGGAAGGCAATGGTAGGAGAAATTAATCTTCCCCTTCCCGGAGATGAAAGCCCACTGTGCTTGGAGCTTGGGAACCAAGGGAGAGAGGAGGCAAATAAAACCTGGATATAGACATCCAAGATGCACAAAGGAACTACAAAAAGTCTGTGCTGAAGCCATCCTCCTGCCTCAGTATCCTGAGTAGCTGAGACTCTGAGTGTGTCTGAAATGAAATGAGAGGTTCGATAAGGGGCTTTCACAGGGAAGCATAGCCCAACTAGTGATGTAAAGATCCCCTAATCTGTTGTGTACAGAATCGATTGGAGGGCAGAGGGGACTTGTGTGGGAGGTGGGGGGTGGGGGAAAGCTCTCTCCCGAAAGAGCTCAGCACACAGGACAGAATCGTGTCAGAGGAGACAGAATGGAGGAAATGGATTTGGGAGCTCGCATGACTTTATCCTGACAGGACTTAGTGAGGACTGTAAATGATGCCAGGTACAGATGCAGAGAGAGAGCTTGGGAGCTCAAAGCAGCCGGGCTGTGCTGGACCTGCAGGCTTGTTCCCTTAACCTCCCCCTTTCTTCTGGGCACGCTCCACACTGCGTTCCTATTGAGTACCCATAGTTAGTTCTACCTGGCCGGATATGCACAGACTGCTCCTAAGAAGACCGGGGAGGCTGTCTCCAGAGAAGACTGTGGGTCAGCGAATGGAATGTGAAAGACCTTAGCTGCTCTGAATGCTCACTACCCCATAGACATTCTTCTGGGAGTCTAGATGGAAGGAAAAAGTGAACCAAGAATAACTCTCTCTGACTTGTCCTTTCAAATAAGCCTGCCCTGCTCCTGCTTTTGGATATCAGGCACCAGGTCCTTTGGCCTCTGGAACTTGCATCAGTGTCCATCCAAGAGCAGCCAGGCTTGTGGTCTTAGTCTTGGAGCAGAGAAGGCAGAGTTGATAGCACCCTTCCCCTACCCCATTTCTGAAGTTTGTGGCTGTGTAGATTGAGCCACATCGACAATTTTTCTACCCAATGACCTGTAAAACTTCTCAGTCCCTGTGACCTTCTGAGCCAATCCAAGAATCACATCTAGTCAATATTTTTACCTGGAGAATATGACTGATACTTAGCAATACCCCATTGCTGCCCTGCTCATAAGGCCCTTCAGTGATGTCATTTATGGGTCCTTCTACTTCACCATGGAGAGTGGATTCCTTGAGGTAGGCCACACATGCCTAGCCTAGCAGGCATCTGGTTAAGTAAATCTATGCCATGAATGAACTCTGACCTACCCTCTCTCCAGTTGACAGGGACGCCATCGCCAGCATATGCTTCTCCCAGCATCCGTCTCACCTGGGACTTCCTTATATGAGATTATCTAAAAGCTTCTTGCTGTTTCTTGCTCCAAAGGAGCCAAGTTCCAGGTGCTCTGATGTCAGGGTCTTTTGGATGAATTATGAATGGCTTCTCTGCAGCAAAGGGGACACTAAGAAAGAAGCCAGCAGGACGGGGGTGGAGAAAGGGAATAGTTTAAAGGGATAAAACCAGGTTTGAGGGAATCATCTCAATTCCTTGCCGTCATTTTCCTCAAGAATCCTAACCTGCTGAGGCCCTTCAGCCACTTTTACATCACAAAATATAGAGTGTTGTGTATGGGGATGAAGGAAACTTTCCCCCGAGGCCTCGGCGGGGGAGGCTGGCGGGGGAGCTGTAGACTACAGTTGGTGGTGTGCATTTGTACGAGTATTTCCCCGTCTTCTGCACAGGGCTGGGGACTGCAGGTAGAGGTGCACTCATTACCCTAGACGGCCGAGAGTGTTGCTGGGCGCAGTGTTCTAGGTTGGCCCTGATCCTTAAACACGGACTGAGAGTCTTTGTCTGAAATATCTCGAGGTAAAACCACACATCAGATTTTCGGTGTTTTTCAGATCTGGGACCCAAATCTAAACAAGACGCGCGTTCCGCATGCGCCCCGTATGCATAGCCTGGAGATAACGGTGCCAAACACATGCCACGCTCCCGCACTGGGCTTGTGTTTTGACGGCAAGCGGTCACGGGAGCGCGGTGGGAGCATCTGCTTGGGGCATCGTGTCCATGCTGAAAGGGTTTTGTTTTCTGAAGCACTCTGGATTTTAGATTTTTTTTCATAATAGAGATATGTCACCCGACTACCTGTTTAGGGTCTCAGCTTTTAAGCTGTTCTAAATGTAAACTGGTCTGGGTCTGTTTGAGCCTTAGAATTAAGGCCGGGTCATCTATTGCCCAAGCTCAAAAACTTCTGCTCTGACATGCACTGTTAGGTTAAGAGTGGATGGACCGCCCACCCACGTCACTGCCTCTCCACTTTAGCAACGGGTAGGCTGGGACACTGAGTCACAACGTTATGACACAGGTCCCCACAGGGCCATACTCCTACCCACCTTGGCTCTGGAAGCCCTCGCGCACGCGCACGCGCACGCAGCGGCTTCAGCAGCTGCTAGAACCGTGAGAAGTGGACAGTGCTCGGTGCGGGCGGTGGGAGCGTCCCCAGGGCACAGAACTCCCCCACTGTCCTGCTTTCACACCCAACTACCAGAAAACCGGTCCACAATACTTACAGATTAATTTTGTTATTTCACCCTTAAAAACCTGAAAAATCGAGGCTTGCAAGATGGCTCAGCGGGTAAAGGTACCTGCTACCAATTCTGATGGCCTAAGTTAAATCCCCAAGACTGCATGGTGGGATGAGCCAGACCTGCAGGCACGCACAGAAAACGAATTAGGCTGAAAAATCAGCAGAGCCTTTAATTCCAGCACTCAGGAGGTTCAGGCAGGATTGCTAGGAGTTTGAAGCCACCCTAAGGCTACAGTGTAAGACTGTCTCAAAAAACACAAACAACAAACAAACCTGAAAAAAAAAATCCACCCACCTGCCCGTGTGCAAATATGTCCACATGTAACAAGCTACTGAAAAATATCACTGCCTTCTCCAGCTGCCACACACAGCAAAACACAAACATATCCACGTGTTGGTAAAATATATTTTATTTGTTCATACAAGAAAAAGTATGAATTACCAGAATTTCATTTTCCTAAAAACATCTTTCTCTGTGTAAAATTAATCTGTGTTATACATAGGACAAAATACTTGATTTAATTTTTTTTTTTGTACATATCGGCTATTCTAACGTCCATGTTATAGAAGACATACTGCTAGAATTTGCACAGCATTTTTGATTACTGGGCTGAATGAAACTCAGTCATAAATTAATGTTATAAAAATGAAAAAATATAACTAACCACACCTTCAAATATTCATTAATCATTCTTTCTGGAAAACTGAAAAGAGAAATGACACCAACATCTGCATCAACACCTTCTGTACTCACTGACGTGATGTGTGTGTGTGTTAAGAGCCTTCCATTTCCCTTTCTCAGGGAGCAGCTAGGCGGGGTCTGCAACTGAGTTTCTCCCCAAAGGCTGAAGGGCATCTGTCACTCAGAAGGACTCTCCCTCCGAGAGTCCGCTCCCCCCAGCATATCTCTCCTCCTCCATCCAATGAAGACTTTATTCCATAGTCACTCCGCCTGGAACACTTTTGTAAATGTTTCCAGACTAAACGAACACACCTGCTTGCAAACATCCCCAGCGAAAGCTTTCCGTGAATAGACACTAAAACAAAAAGAATCAAACATTTTTGTGGACTTTTTTTTTGTTTGCTTTCAAGCCAGGAAAGAAATGAAAGCTTTGAGAAATAAAGTTCACCAGGAATATGCCAGACTTTTCCTAGAAACCAGGAGAACACTCAAACATGGGGTGGGACAAACTGTCAAGACGTAAACTGCTGTCTGTGTCCTGGCAGTTCAGCGGTGAAGCTCGGTGGCCTTGTAGTTGGCCAGGATGGGAAGGGACAGACCTAAGCCTTAGTTTCCTATGTTGCCCAGCTCCTCTGAGAAGGGGCTACCTGGGGTAGTAACAGCTCTCCCATGAGGCAGCATCTTGGGCAGGGTCCAATCAGTCAGGGACTGTAAGCCATCGGGACCTGATGAAGAGGCTCCCACGTTGTTTGGGTCATTTGACCAACCTTGAAAACCTCACCCTGCTCCAGCAGCGCTAATTGCCAACATCTGCTTGGATCCAAGGACCCAGCACAGAATCTTGACTCACTTCAGCGTCCGTGACTCCATGACCTTCCTTCTATCTCAACACATCCTGTTTTTGTTCTGTTCTAAAGCAAGGGGTAGACAACTTAAACAAGCGTCCAGCTTGGGAAGAGAGCAGAAAGGCTCACACCTTTTTCCTCCAGCTTGGCTGTGTACCATTCTCTGAACTCTATGTACTTCTACTCTGCAAGCAGCCAGAAAGCCTCGGTGAAGGCCTTGGACAGGCTGCCTCTGCCTGTGAGCAAGATTCTGCAGTCGGTGAGGGGAGGTGTCCTTGTTCTGATTTCAAACAGCCTTTTACAAGGAAAAGTAAGGCTGGTGAGAGTCTTTCATGCAGGCATTTCTACGCCCAAGCAGCTGGCCAGGAGACTATGCTATGATTGTGGTGTTGGCCTAAATGCAGGCAATACACAACTGTGTATAGGCAGAAGAAAATGAGCAAATGACCATGAAATGGGCTGGGGGTGTGGCTCAGTGTTTGCCCAGTGTGCAAAAGGCCCAAGATTCTGCCCTCAGCTCTGCAGAAGGAGAAAAAGAAAAAGGAAGAAATGGATGTAACATCTAAGAAATGAACACAGCCAATGACCACCTTTCCACTATAAACCTGCCCAGGGACCATCTTGCTGCCCAGAATAAGCTAATTTCAGCCGGGCTATAATTTGTAGAAAACCACAAACTTGGTTTCAAACTATCCCTATGGACCATAGATACCTCTCACTAGTTTCTAGAGACAATGTATCTTCTCTTTCCGTATAACTTTGATCACCCAGTCAAGTCAGACTATAGAGTGTCCAAAGGAATCTTTTGTAACTATCACAATGTAACCATTTCAACCAAGTATGCATTCTTGATGATAGTCTAACTCAGGTAACAATCCTTTCGGGAAGGAGGCATTCTGGTTTAGGAAACTGAGGATTAACTGAATATATCATGCTGTACTATCACTACACAGTTTTCCTAACTAGCTGAAGGATGGCCCCTCCCTGACCCCCTGTCCTCCCAACACAGAGGTTCAGGAAGAACCATCTGCCTATTAGCAGCAAAGCTGGCAACTTCTCTGCTAACCCCCACTACCTCACCGGGAGGCTGCACAAGTGCCAGGCTTGAGTACCTACAAGCAGCCAGCTTTCCCAGCCTGGGCCCACTAGGACCATCCTCCAAAGCCTGCTGTGGTCACTGCCTACAGATTGTGTTGTATCTCTGGGATGGGGTAAGCATTTCAGAGGCGTTTGGCTGCAACGCTGGGCATCCCCTTCCTCTACCAGGCTGCTTGTTATATCCGAGTGTTCTGCCTTTTCTCTGTTCTGAGGCTTGAGTCTATGGGTCTACACATAGCAACGCCTCTATGAGTGCTGAGGGACACATCTGAACCCTATGGGTCCTTACATCTAGCACCCAGGTTTAGGCCTGGCAGACTCTTTGGCCTGTCACACAGAACTGTCTGGCTGAGGAAAAGGGTGCGGTACATTCTTACGCAAATGAGACATCACCTTTTTTGTCAAGTATCGCCACACTCATGGGACCTGGAAAAGGGATCAATTTCTGCATATACTTCCAGCTGGCTAAGGGATGGAGGAATAGAGCAGAAGAAGGCTGGGGTCATAAGGACTTGGGTCCCTGTAAGGGAGGTGAGAGAAATGCCACTTGGTTCTAGCTACATCAGTGAGATTAAGGAACTGCTTATGTAAATTCCACCTTCAGACTTCAGCAAGCTGAGGCAGCTCCGTGCTTCCAGAAGGTATCTGGGCAAAAAGAAAAAAAAAGAAGAAGAAAAGAAAGAAAGAAGGAAAGAAAACAACAACAACAAAAACCAACCAACTGAGGCAGCCAAGATCCAAGGAGATAGCAGGTGGAGGATCCAAGGTGATTGAAGACTGAATACCCGTAACAAAAATCTCAAGTTGTGCTTTTCTTATTCTTAAATACAACGGGGGCGGGGGCGGGGGGGGTTCGGGGAGGAGAACAAGGAAGCACCATCGTTTGTGAGGGACAGAACAAAATATGGGAGATAAACACTTTGGAATGTTAACAGACCGTGACGGGAACTCTCTGCAGAGCGTGGCTAGGCAGCTTAGTGAATTAATTGCTCGTGAATTAAAAATAAATTATTATAAAATAGATTTCTGTACATTTTACATACATATACTCTCTCTCAATAGATAAGCCGCAAGGGGAGGAGACTCAGTCCCAGCCGAAGTCGCGGCCGGTCATCTGGTAGAACTTGCGGTTGAAGGGCCGGTAAAAGTCACGCAGCTGCCGCAGCACCTCGCGCGCGATGGCGGGGTGCGCGCGGCCCTTGGTCTTGCCCAGGCAGTGCGGCTTGCCGCTGCCCTCCGCCTTCTTGAGGCACGGGAAGCCCTTGGTCTGGTTGAAGTAGAAGTGCTTGTCGGTGATGATGCGCTTGAGGCCCAGGAAATCCTGCACGCGGCGCAGCTCGCCGGCCGGGTCGCTGACCAGCCGCTCCCCGCTCACGAAGAGCATCTGGCGCAGCGGGAAGTGGCGCAGCCAGGGCTCCAGGTGCTTGGCGTACAGGCCGATCTGGATGGCGCTCCAGGACGTGTCGATGAGGCCCGCGCTGCGGTTGCGGAACGTCAGGCTCTCGAAGCTGGGGATGTCCGGCCGCTTGGACAGCGTCTGCGTGTAGTCCGAGATGGCCCTGGTCACCGGGTCGCGCACCACCACGATGAGCTTGGTGTCCCTGGACATGGCCGAGATGCGCGCGGGGGCCTCCCGGGTCACGAAGTAGCTGGGCGTCTTCTCCATGGTGATCTGTCCCTCCAGGGTTCTGGGCATCAGGTCCCTGCGGGAGGCAAAGAAACAATCTGGGGTCAGAAAATGGAGCTTCTGCCTCTGGGCTCAAGATCACACCTAATTTTGGGGCCCTCTTATTATTGAGGCCATTTTTTGAAACAAAAAACGCAACAGGATTTTAGAGCTAGGGTACATTAACCCTTTCCACCACCAGCACCCCTGCCCCTGCCCCCAACTGGGAGGCCAGACAGCGCCTAGCTGAACCTGGAGCAACTTCCCACTAGGCAGAAGGGCAAGGCCAGTTTCTCTGGGGTGCTGGTGTGAGTGTTACCTCTCCCTAAGCCAACTCAAAGTATCCAGTTTTCGAAAGCCCTCCCCACCCCACTCCTCCAAAAGTCTATCAAAAATGGCACCAAGAACTCAGGTTGCCTGTTCCTCAGTCTGCACATGTCCACCAAGCCCCGATGGTCTTGGGCATCAGAAACGTGACTTGACAAAATGGCCAAAAAGCAACGGAGCAGGCATTATCCAAAAACTCAATGAAATCGATACAAACAGACAGAACCATACCAAGTGAAAATTCTCCAGGCAGTCAATGCTAGATGCTTCCAAAAACACCTTAGATTCCATCAGGGCAAAATAACTGCGAGGTATCTACCAGAGTATTGATTTCACCAAAAGCACCAGACAACACTGTTGACACATAGAGTCAGTACAAACTGTGACATCTGGACTGGGTTTCTGCATTGGTGAATGACAGTCATGCTGACTAACGAATCAGCGGTGTGGCACCTTGGTTACAGGATGTGAGAGCAAGAGGCAGGTGAACTAGAAACCATTTGTAGTAGTTTGTGCTGTTTCATAGATTCTGTTACATGACTAGGCAATGACTACTGTGAAGCTAGGAGTCGGGGTGGCCCGAGCCACTGACTCTAGAAGTGTAGAGTCTGGGTCCTGTCAGTGAACTTGAGGACATTTTCAGTAGACCGGATGTAGAAGCTCCAGGGAGCAGAACGAGCACCAGTCAAAGGTGAGCAAAGAGGAACATGGGAAAAAAAGGACCAGGAAATCCTGGGTGGGGACGGGGATGGGGGCAAGGTGGGGGTTAAGGGATGGCAGACAAGAATGAGAATACGGCATACAGGCATGTCCATGGGTTAAAGGTTCTGTAACATCTCTGCAGGTGGCAAACTGGAGGACAGAGAGAAAGAGAGCATCTGGGTGACACATCCTCCTACGGACAATTCTAAAAAGACGCCATGAAGGCAGAGGCCATGCATACCCGGTAAAACACACACACACACACACACACACACACGCACGCACACACACACACACACACACACACACACACACACACACACACACAGTTTAATCCCTAGCGCTTAGCATGGTGCACAGAATCACAGCAGGTGTCCTCTAAATGCCTATAAACAGTGATGGATTAGTGGTCTTGCTGACAGGTAAGCCCCAAATGGAAACAAGAAAGGCAAACAGATGAGCTTTACTTCACAGTTTGGGTGGGCTGGACTGGGAAGCCCTCTCTACCGCCTTGCGGCTCTGTGACCAGGGAGTGAGTTTTTAACATCTCTGAGCTTTGCCACCCTAATGTGCAAAACTGGAATAATTCCATCTACCTGCTGAGTTGCTGAGAGAATTAAGGGAGGATTTCAAGCCACAGTGGTTTGTTCAGATTAACACTAGAAGGGTGTAGGTCTGGGGGTTCTGCTCCTTCTGGCTCTGCGGCTTATTATTGGCTGTCTGGAGAGAGCAATGGCTACCTCAGGAGGATGTAATGAGAACGAAAAGTCAGTAATCAACATACTTAGAGCATGCTTGACACGATCCCCGTGTCTGGTACATGTGTGCCATTATTATCCCTATGCACATGAGTCCTGCCAGTTTCGTTCTATGAAAGGATTAAGCATGAAAATTAAACATTAAATAAATAGGTAGTAGATCTGTCCACATATGTTTAACCGCCCATTAACTATGGGGTGGAGAGTCTGACTGATTTTTGCTTGGGCACAAAGATGAAATACAAAGAGAGATAATCTTCACATCTTTTTTTGTGGTAAATATTTCCTTCTCAGTAGAACATTCTAAACGTCTATTTTCAAGCCATCATGCTGCCTGAGGCAGTAATCAGAGCACGTTTTTAGAACTAACGACATAAACTTGATTTTGTAAGAAAGAAAATGTTTGGTTCTGCAGAGGGCGCAAGCTCCTTCTAGGACAAGTCCACCGGGAGTTCACAAAAAACCGCACTTCGCCTGGCCTAGAGGAAGCTCCTCACAGCCCCGCTGGGTGCTAAAGCCAGATTAACCCACTTTGCCCACTTACTATAGGATAGTGGTGCCATCAGGCTAAGGTAATCAAGGATTAAAAGATTCCCAGCTCTCAACTTACTTAGCTCATCTCAGGAAAAAAAAAAAAAAAAATCGGGTCAGCTCTGACACAGGCCGGGTTTCTTCTGTGTGCCGAGCTGTCTGCAACTGGACAGCTTATAAGAAATCCAGACTCAAAATGAAAGCAATATGGCCATGGTGAGCGGTAATCTGGTTCCTCACCCCACCCCACACCCTGCCCTGGGTGGCCAGAGCCACTGGGAATGGGTGTAGTGAAGGTGATTTCTGTGTTGAGGGATTCGCTTTGGCCTGACATAGACTTTGAGGTCCTGCTGTCAGGTGTAGTTCTCAAGACCGGTGACCTTCCCATCCGTGTGACAGTTTGCTCAGCTGAACACTGACGGCAGGGGTGATGTCCTGCTCTTACAAAGCTTTAAGAAACTGGAGACTTGAGACTGGTACCTCACTGGCACTAGGAAAATGGTACCCATCACCTCCTGCCAGGATCTTGGGAAAACAGAGTGGCGCCTCTGCACACAGGCACTGGTCACAGCGAGCTCTATCCACGAAGGGCAATTCATTTGTTGTCAGCAGGACCAGTAAAAAGGAACAGTGCACGCGTTACAAAGTCCCTAAGAGCTTAAGGGGCACTGACTGGGGAAACCCCGCTCTGCAGACATGCCTCCTAGGACATTCCTAAAGCTACAGTACTTTGACACTTGTTAAAGCAACAGAGCCAGGGCACCTACTTTTGTGACTCTGAGACTCAGCCCCAGCTTTGATGGACTCTGAGGCTGATCTCGCCAGGGAGCTGGATGCAGACAATAGGTAGTCAGGACTGGGTATCTGGGTTCCCCACCACTAAGTGCTTCCAGAGCCCCCTCTGAAGACTTCAGACTTCAGATCTGTATCTGGGCTCTGACAGACCTGGCAGCGATCTCCAACATGAGCTTTCGCTGGGACTAAGTGAAGGCTTAGAGGCCTGACTCCAATTTGGTCTAGCACTGTACCTTTGCTGCACCGAGCAGAGAACAGAACACCCAAGAGTAGGAAGAACTCCTTGCGTGGAACTTCCCAGGTGCTTACAGGTAAGACCTTTCCTTCTGGTCGGAGCTGTCCGTTTCTCCACCAGCAGCTTCCAGCGTCAAGTTCTTTCCATGCACCACACACACACACACACACACACACACACACACACACACACACACACCCCTTTCATAATTTCTCTGACGAGGCATCCCAGAGTCCACTGCAGCCCCAAGCTGGCCCCCAGAGAAGCACATCCCATGGGGTAATTGTGCTGCTCATTACAAAAGCCAGTTTCTCAAATGGATAGTCACAGCTAATAATTATACCGCGCTTCGGGGGCTCACAAAGGAACTTTCACATGCATTATCTGATTTAATCCCTCACCACAGGCCTTTGAGGTAGGTATTGTAATCCCCAATTTACTAATGAAGAAGCTGAGTCTAAAGCAGAGAGGGTGATGCCTGGGTCACGGAGCTGGGACTCCTGGTGTGCCCCTTCCACCCATCCAGGGTGTCTCCCTCTCAGCAGTCTTTCTGTCTGAACAAGACTGAGAGAGCACAGGGCTTTGCATGTCTCTCTTTAGATATGTGTCTGTTCATAGATGAAATACCTCTGCTTCACAGATTAGAATCTTAATGGTAGACACTTAAGTCTCAATCAGATCACTGCTGATCATAATTGTTCAAATAGGAGTCAGATTTCGAAACAATAAGCCTCTTTGATTCACATATTCCCATTGTTACTTGCAATTTATGGGGCTTGAAAAGTCATCAGCGGTTCCAACAGCCCCTGCCCTGTATTAGCACCACCGGCTCAGCCCCTCCTCTCCTCTTTCCCAGGGGTGGGAAAGCACACCTCTCTGAAAGCACAGAAACCTGGTACACTCATGAATAAGTGAATGAGAAGCAGAGGCCCAGGCTAAGAGGCACAATTCAGAGCTTATGCATGGAAAAGTTCCTTAGGATGGCCCGGGAAACACTGTCTTGGCATGAGTGCCTACCACAGAAACAGAGTGACAGAGAGCGGAAAGGGTCCACGCCTCCAGGGAGAGCTGCAGAATGAGGCAGGCTTGCCGCCCTGTCTTAAAGCCTAGAGCTGCCCATGAACATCTGGTACCCAAGGAGCTGGGCCCACAGGGGCATACAGGGCTTAGACCTCGTGGGAAGATTTACAAGACAGTCGTATGTATCTCATTGCTGGCTAGGCTCACCTCTGGGTGCAGAGTAGAACCACTGAGGGTGTTTTAGCAAGGACTAAATGCCTGGGCTCCACCCAGACACACTGAATAAACCAGGCTCTGGCTGGGCACGGCTCCAGCACAGGACTCTAATGATTCTCCTGTATAGACAGGATGGAGTGTCTGCAGCCTTGGACTTAATCATGGGCATTTTTTTTTTACATTGGCATTTGTATGCACCTAGGTAGAGACTCTGTGTGGGGGTGCTTAGGGACACCACAAAGAAAAGCGGGAGGCACACACTGAAGACTGAGAGCTCAAGACCAGCTTTGCCTACATGGTGAATTCCAGGCCAGCCTGGGTTTATGTCAAGAAGCTCAAAACAGCCTGTAATTCCAACTTCAGGGGATCCAGTGCATTCTTTTAGCCTCTTTGAATACCAGTACACACACACACACACACACACACACACACACACACACACACACACACA